TTCTGGTTAGGATCTGATGTTTATTGTCTTGTTACATCTGAATTTATACCAGTTGATTTTATTTTATTTTTTTTTAAATATATTTTATTGATTTTTGACAGAGAGGAAGGGAGAGGGATAGAGAGTTAGAAACATCAATGAATGAGAAACACCGACCAGCTGCCTCCTGCACACCCCCTACTGGGGATGTGCCCGCAACTAAGGTACATGCCCTTGACTGGAATCGAACCTGGGACCCTTCAGTCCGCAGGCCGATGCTCTATCCACTGAGCCAAACCGGTTTTGGCTATACCAGTTGATTTTAATCCTGTCAATTTCTATTGCAAAGGTTAGGGCATTTCTTATCTCCATTCCAGGGAGTAAAGATTATGTAGCTTAAGCATGATTGTTTGTAGTTAAAGTGATTAACTACCCGCCTGGCACTTAGTTAAGGGGTTGTATCCCCTCCCTAACCTCAGGGAAAAATCCCCACCTGGGGAAACAACCTTTCTCGGAGAGGTGACCTTGGTTAAAACACATGGCGCTAAGGAGAGCAAACATATTAAGAACAATATGCTATATATGCCAGGTCCCTTGAAACATATGCTGTGCAGATGTTTCTTTCCTGCAGCGACTGTGTCAAGCAGCAAGGATGGACCGGCTTCCGGCAATGACCAGCACCCTAAAAAAAAGCCCCTTTGGTCTCCCAGTCATTCTCTATCTCCCCAGTAGTAATAGCTATACTGACTTACAACAGCACAGATTAATTTTGCCTGGGTTTGTATTTCATATAAACGAAATCATAATATGTACTCCTGTTTGACTACTTCTGTTCAATATTATGTTTAAGATTTATTCATATTGTTGCATTCACAATACTTTTTTATAGATCAGAGTGAAAGATTAAGGTAAAATTTGCAGAGGGTGGGGGTGGGAATAGGTCTTCCAGTCAAAAAAAAAAAAAAAGAGACACATGGTAAAAAATAGATAACACCAAACAGCAACATTTTAAAATTTTCACACTGTTTGGGCTCCTAGAGGTAAGGTAGATGGTCCTAATTATTTTTAGTTATCAAACTCAGAGTTGAAACAGGTGTCATGAAAGAAATGTTGGGCAGGGGGTCTAAATTAAGGGGGGGGGGGAGCAGTAATATCTCTATGAGTTGAGTATGTTTAGTAAGCTGTGTGTGGTGGGGCAAATTTTTTAATCTCCCTGGAAACTGTTTTCCCAATTTGTAAAATGAGGATAATAACTGTTGTCAAAATCAGATAAGTGAATATAAAATGTATGGTACTGTTTCTGACTCTAATGCACACATACAAAAAAACACACACATTACTTCCTGTCAACTGGACACAAATGAATCAGGAGGCTTTGCTAAAATAAATTTTTATTCAAGTGTCTATCTAGGTTTGCAAACCTGAAACACAACTAACACAATACTGAGTTTTGCCCTGGGGCACATACCCAGGTTTCTAGTTAAGTCGGGCCCCGCAAAGGATATCTATCTATCTATCTATCTATCTATCTACTACACCCCCCACCCCCCAATCAATTTTTTTATAAAGCTTAAGAGTTTTTGAGTAAAAAGCACATTTTTTTAAAGAGTCAGTTCTGCATTCTTAGCCTCTGGGTTGATCCAAGATGGTAATCTTCCAGGTCTGGTTTATTAACTGAGTTGCTCAGATGGTTATCTGTGGAGGTCATGTATATCCAGGCATGGATGTACAACTAAAAAGTTTACGTTCCCAGGCTAGTTAGCAAGAATAGAATCGTTTCCCTATGTCTCCGCCTACTTGATTTTAATAATTTAGCAGCTTGACCACACTGATTCCATTTTATTTCTTCACTCTTCCTCATTCCTTTCTACCACCTTCCTTATTTGAACACAAATCAGAACTCTAGTAGCTAGGAACTAAATGATGTCCTAGTTCCTTAGCATTAAGCCTCTCTACCTCTTTAGCTTGAAGTATAAAACAGGTTTGGGTTACAGATTATATAAAACAGTTTGGGTTACAGATTATGAGAAGCAAAATTTGAGTGTAAGTGTAGTACAATTGACTGGCATCTTCACGATTCAAAGTTAGCTTTTCCATGACCCCTGATTCACCTTTATAAAAGCATTCCTTTTCCCTACCCGGTTTGGCTCAGTGGATAGAGCATCGGCCTGCGGACTCAAGGGTCCCGGGTTCGATTCCGGTCAAGGGCATGTACCTTGCTTGTGGGCACATCCCCAGTGGGGAGTGTGCAGGAGGCAGCTGATCGATGTTCCTAACTCTCTATCCCTCTCCCTTCCTCTCTGTAAAAAATCAATAAAACATTTTTTATTAAAAAAAAAAAAAAAGCATTCCTTTGCTAGGGTATTGGTCCCGACCACCACTTCACCCAAGCCCACAAAGCCTCACTAGATTCCTTCCGCCCTGCACGTACTCTGTCCCAACTCCCCCCACCCCGCCCCCACACACCTTTGGTCAGATCTCCCATTGTACTCATCCTGAGGCCTCAAGTGCCCATGTCATTCAAATCACATCTCCCAAGCCACGGCACAGAGTAGATCCTCGGCAACTACGATGGATTACATTTTCTCTTAAAACTTGGAAGGCGGCTGGTGCTGAAATAAAAGACTTTCAAATGCTCAGTCCGCAAAAACGAACTTAGCAATTGCGTTGGGCATCACGGTGTTGTTTTAATATCCTTGACGTCGCACTATGTCAACAAATAATTAACCAGCGCCAAGTGTGCTGTACATTGGGAAGACGAGGACTGCAAAGAGACCCTCGGGGCTGTCACGGCTCCGGAGAAAGAAAGGTTCACTCGCCGGGACCCCGCAGCCTCCCCCGCGCTGCCCCGCAGCCTCCCCGGCGCCGATCCCCGCCCGCGCGCTGGTCCCGCCTCACACACGCACGTGAGCCCCGAGGCCGAGCCAATCGGATGTGCCGGAGGGTTGGCGAGCCCGCCCGCCCCTCGCGGGGCTGAAGCTGGTCAGCCCTCCATCCAGCCCAGAGCCCCCGGGGGTGTGGCCTGCACGCTGGCGGGGCGGGGTGTGAATTGGCCGCCGCTTCCGGGAAGCAGCCCGCCCCTCGTGCACCGGGAGAGACTAGATTAGAGCGAGGGAGCGGTGGCTGGAGCGTAGGCTCGCAGCTCCGAGGAGGTAAGGTAAGCGGGGGCCGGACGCGGGGAGATGGCGGAGGCGGAGGCGGAGGCTGTGGCACCGCGTCCCTAGACCCACAGTGTGCTGTGCGCCTGGAGCGCTGGCAGCGCAGCCGGGGATCCGTCCTTTGGGGCCGGTATTTGGGCTCTTAGAGGTAGATTGCCCGGCTGCAGCCGGAGTAGGGTCTCCGTGGGGCCATAGTCCTGGAGGGCACGTGTCCAGTCCTTGGGGTTTCCTCCCTTGGACACCCCTGGAGCAGACTCTCTCAGTGCAGAGCGCGAGGTACATCGCCGATGTGGGAGGATGGTGGAACTATATCAGCCGTTTTGTGCTAGGCTTGTACGTACGTGCATTGGCCCATTGAGTCTCTACAACAGCCCATTGAGGGCGATTCAAGTCCGCATTTACCAGATGAGGCAACTGAAGTCACACAGCTGGGAAGTGACAGCTAGAACAGACTCCCAAATCCACACACTTTATTATCGTGCTGCCAGCTGCATCCAGGTCCAGAGTCACGGGTCGGCTTCCCTCCCCCACCCCTTCACCCAGAGTTCTCCACAGCCCAACTCTGCTGAACTTAAAGTATCAAGGGGTAATAGCGAGCATTGAAAACTGGGCTGCTTGGAGACCTGAATTCTAGCCC